GAATACTTGCTGTCTATGATGGATGAATGATTTTATACATGTTTTAAATGATTTAAATATATATTTATTTTATGTCTACAAATATGTTGGGATAAAACATGGGTAGATGAAATAGTTGGTGTGTGATGAAATAAAATGATGAGAGATAGGTGATGATAGGAAGGTGATGATAATTAGGTGATGGATAGGTGATGATGAATCGGTGATGTAGGATGAAAGATACTATAACCTTGTCCGTCAATGTGGAGATGTAGTCATCTACCAGAGTATAGATGGCGACCACGGACTATTCTAGACAACCCCGTGGAAAGACCGGCAGACTCGATGAATTACGAGTTCAGGCGATGTTGTGACTGCGTATTCATGTGATGATACTCTAACCCTTACTATGAATTACGAGTTCAGGCGATGTTGTAACTACGTATTCATGCCTTAGGAACGAACATATAAGGAAATGTGATGTAAAGAGATGAGAGGTAAATACGACATAGGAGATGACCCTTAAGATAATTCTTTAGGGAATATTAAATGAAGAAAATGGGGATGGGTAATTGGGTTGATTGTTTGATTGTTTAAACATAATAATTATATTATTGTGGGTTGAAAACCCTATGTACTCACCAGGTTTCCCAACCTGACCCACTCAAGCTTATTTGTATCACAGGTGTCGATATGAAGCTACTTTAAACTGAGAGATTTAAAAGAGATGTAGATCACTAGTGTAAATGAATGTAAGTTCTGTTTATGCTTATGTTTCTGTATTGACGATGACATCCCAAATGTTTTAAAATGAATAAAAATACTTTTCTTCTGAAATGCTTTGATAACGTATTTATCATGTTTTACTGGGAACAAATTCCGCAACATTTTTATTAAAAGAGGTACTCTGATTTTATAAAGCATAAACAAAAATCGGTCTTTTCTGGCCGTGAAAATGGGGATGTCACAAGCCTCCACCTTCAAGATTTGACCTTCTCCCCTCTCATCTCTCCTCTTTTGGATGCTTTTTATGTTATTTTAATGAAACAAGAAGATCAATAAGGTTATCTTAGTTGCAAGGAATCATGCTTCAATTTTGGATCCATCAAAGGCACTACATTTCTGGACCATTGTGAGTGTAAAGTACCAATCTAGCTATTTAGATCTTTCGATTTGGGATTTTTGGCACTTTTGGTCCATTTTTATGGGTGATCTTGGAGTTGAGTGGACTCCAACATCTCTTGATGTGTTTATAATGCTTCTTGGACCTCATGGACTAGGAAAGTTGTGATCTTTTGCCTTCCCTTTTAGCCATGCAAGTTATCTTGGTCCTTTAGGTAATTTTGGTGTATTAAAGTTTAGATTTTAGAAGATTGTGGAATTATTATGGATAAAGTTGGAAACTTTATCCATCTAGACATCTTGTTGATTCATATTTGGAAGTTGGAGACTTGGACTTAATGGTTTAAGTTGAGAAAGATGCATTTTGGGTCCCTTTGAGACTTAAAGTGTAGATCTTTGTGGTTTGGACCTTCCTAATGGATAAAGTTAGAAACTTTATCCATTAAGACCTTGGAAAGGATTAGATCTCTTGGAATCAGAAGAAAATGGATTAATCTCGTTTGAGCTGTCCAGACCAGTCCCCACGGCATGGCCTTATGCTGCCACGACATGTCGACTAGAGGTTTAACGAATGTTTTGGAATTTTGTGCCCACGATGTGGCCAAGGAAGGCCACAACATGGAGGGCTACTGATTAGAAATTTTGACTTTGACTTTGACCGTTGACTTTTTTGACAAGTTTGTCTTTTGGTCAAACTTGAGTAGAATTGAGCATTTGGCTAAAGATTGGTTTCGGTTTGGATTTATGAAGCTTGGGTTGGATGTTTTGTTGTTGAGGTAGCTGTTGGGCTTTTGTTGAATAGTTCAGGTGAGTCTCTTCACTATACTCATGGGTCGAAGACACCAATGTCGGCCCAGTGGATTATGTTTGTATGATGATAGTTGTCTTTGTTACATTTGTTGATATGCATGTATGTGTTTTTTGTGTTTGTGACTCTTGTCGATATGATTGTATGCTTAGTTGTAGGGGTGAAATAGACCTAGTACCGGTTGAAAGATAGCGAAGGGGGTGAAATAGTCCCAATACCGGTTGAAAGAGACCGAAGGTGGTGACATAGACCCAGTATCGGTTGAAAGATACCGAATGGGGTGAAATAGACCCAGTACTGGTTGAAAGAGACCAAGGGGGTGAAACAGACCCAATATCGGTTGAAAGATGTCGAAGGGGGTGAAATAGACCCAATACCAGTTGAGAGAGACCTAAGTAAGTTGGCATCGGTATTCTTTAGTCCTCTCTCAAAGAAAGTATTAGTGGAGAAATTACCAAGGAAGAGCATCGAAGATCCCATCATATGAACTTTGGAGATAACCGAAGAAGAGGAATCATGGATGACACCATACATCCATTTCCTTAAAAAAAAAGGATATTACATATAGACGACAAAGAAGCCCGGAAGATCCGGATCAACATAACACACTATACTATGTACGAAGATCGGCTGTATCAGAAGGGGTATTCCACTACTTGGTTAAACTGTATTAGAAAAAGGGAGGTAGAGGTTGTTATCGATGAATTACATTCAGACATATGTGGTGCACATGTGGGTTCGAGAGAAATCACTCAGAAAATACTCTGAACACGGTATTTCTGACCATCAATGACTAACGACACAAACACTTACATCCAAAAATCCTATGACTGCCAGATACACTCAAACGTTCCTACCCTTATACCTACAAAGTTAACAAGCATCACCTGCCCATGACTTTTCTTTCAATGGGGGATTGACATCGTGGGGCCTTTTCCTGAAGCACCAGGAAGGTTCAAATTTCTGATAGTAGTTGTGGATTATTTCACCAAATGGGTTAACGCGGAAGCATTAGCAGTAATCTCAAGAAGAAATATGGGAAAGTTCATTTGGAAATAGATAGTATGTCGCTTTTTCCTCCCACACACGATCATTACTAACAACCAAAAACAATTCACAGAGAATCCTTTCAAAAAATGGTGTCAGGAGAAGGAATCAAACATAACTTCACTTCGGTGGCACATCCTCAAGCGAATGCGCAGGTAGAGGTTACCAACATAACTCTAGTGAAGGGGATCAAGAAAAGATTGGAAGAAGCTAAAGTAAATTGGGTCGATTAATTATAAAGCGTACTATGGGCTTATCGGACAATGACAGACACGCCAACTAAAGAAACGCCATTTAGATTGGCATATGGGATAGAAGTAGTTATCTCTATAGAAGTAACAGTGTGAAGCACTCGAAATAGGAATCCTTAGGGAGACACGAACAATACAGAACTGCGAGAAAACCTAGATCTTGTGGAAGAAAGACGAAGTGATGTAGCTATACGACAAGCATCTTACAAGGCAATAACGTAAAGATACTACAATGAAAGAGTCAAAGCACAACATGAAAGGTGGGAGATTTGGTTCTTTGTAGAAATCAAGCAAGTTGGCAAGAGCATATAAGAAAGTTAAGTCCAAACTGGGAAGGGACATACCGAGTAATTGAAGGTAAAGGAAATGGTTCATACATCGTGGAGAACATGGAAGGAGTTCTATTGCCAAGAACATGGAATATGTGAAACCTTTTCCAATTCTATTTCTAAGGTGGCAGTAGTCATGAATTTGACTGTAGTCGATCAAGAAATGTATTAATAACATTAGGCAACAATCACCATTTGTATGTTGTTTGATTATGACCTTGAATGCACTCTTTAGCTTTTGGTCGATAAAAGCTCGACCCTATTTTCATTAAGTATGAATCATAAGTCTTTGTAGCTTATGGTTCGGTCACCATGATCCAACAAATCATGGTTCGACCCTAATTTTATTAAGTATGAATCATAAGTCTTTGTAGCTTATGGCTCGGTCACCATGATCCACCAAATCATGGTTCGACCCTATTTTCATTAAGTATAAATCATAAGTCTTTATAGCTTATGGTTCGGTTACCATGATCCACCAAATCATGGTTCGACCCTGTTTTTTTTAAGTATGAACCATAACTCTTTGTAGCTTATGGTTCGGTCACCATGATTCACCAAATCATGGTTCGACCCTATTTTCATTAAGTATGAACCATAGGACTTTGTAGCTTGTGGTTCAGTCACCATGATTCACCAAATCATGGTTCGACCCTTTTTCATTAAATATGAACCATAAGTATTTGTAGCTTATAGTTCAGTCACCTTATCCACCAACTTATGGTTCGACCTTGTTTTTATTAAGTATGAACCATAAGTCTTTGTAGCTTATGGTTCGGTCATCATGATTCACCAAATCATGGTTCGACCCTATTTTCATTAAGTATGAACCATAAGACTTTGTAGCTTGTGGTTCGGTCACCATGATTCACCAAATCATCGTTCGACCCTTTTTCATTAAATATGAACCATAAGTATTTGTAGCTTATAGTTCGGTCACCTTATCCACCAACTTATGGTTCGACCTTGTTTCATTAAGTATGAACCATAAGTCTTTGTAGTTTATTGTTCGGTCACCATGATTCACCAAATCATGGTTCGAAACTATTTTCATTAAATATGAAGCATAAGTCTTCGTAACTTATTGTTCAATCACCATAATTCATCAAATCATGTTTCCACCCTACTTTCATTAAATATGAAGCATAAGTCTTCGCAACTGATGGTTCGGTCACCAGGATCCATCAAATCATGGTTCGACCTTATTTTTATTAAGTATACCTCTAAACAATTTACCATGATTTTCTAATTCTCAATTCGATTATATATTTATTAGTAAACAAAAACTAGAAGATAAATCGAACTAACACCCAATATGATTCATAAAGAAATTTCAGAAAGTGCACCAAGATTACAAATACATCAAGACTGCAAGTTAGCAAATTTAACAAAATATTATACGATAAACATTTCGGTTCAACCATACAACCAAAAAGTTTTCAACTAAGAGCCAACAAATACAAATCAAGCACTACTACTTGCATCATCGCACTTGGAAAGGGCATCCAAAGATGAAAATTTCTCTTTCAACACATCGACGTCTACTTTATCCCCCTCCAAGAGCTCGAACAATAAGTACTTATAAGCAACCATATCGGAGAAACGATCCAGGATACGGCGTTGGGCTTCAGGAAAGGAATAAATAACCTTTTTTCCAGTCAATGCCTCAGAATACTTCTCCGTCATCTCAACACAAGATTGATGTAGCCTAATCGGATTGCCACAATCTGTAGGGCACCATTAACATTGCCAAAATTTCCTGAATTCAACACAGCGCGAACAAAAGAAGGGATACCATCTTTAATAACCCACTGCATGTCTGCGATGCCTCGCTTTGATATCGTTTGATATTGAAGCACATCATGCTTGGCAGAAGCCTGAAGTTCACCTAGAGATGCAATTTGGGCATCTCTCTCAGACACAACAATTTTGAGTTTTGACAACTCTTCCTCGAGAAATTTGATGTTCACATCATTTTCTGAACACGCAATCTCCAGCTGCGAAACCTTTTCCATATATTAAAGCTTTAAAGATTCAAATTGTTTGTTTTTCTCTTCCAACTCTCGGCTGAACCCAAAGAGATGACCAATTGCATCATCCGCTTTGATCTGAAGGTCTTGGTTCAGCTTTTTCAGCTCCTCCTGGCAGTGAAGGCTCTCATTTAAGTCATCAACTAACCGTCTGTTCCTCTCTGATAAACCGTGCACCTCTTCAGGAAGACACTTTGCCTCCACCTCCAACTTCTTTTGAAGAACACACAACCCCTTCAGTGCCTGAAAGTCTTCCTCAAACCTCAGTTGCTTCTCAAAAAGTATTCTAGCTCACTTACGAGTATGACAAGAAACCTCGTTCAGTAGGTGGATCCCTTCCATCAAACAGGAACGGGCCTTGTTGAAACTTTCTTCATCAGAAACATCCGCAAGTTCAGGACCTTTAGGAATAGAGGGCCTTGAAATTCAAGCAATGAAGCCGCAAAAGTAACAAGCGTATGCAATGGAGCCTCCTTACCAAAAGAGGTAATAATTGCAATAAGTGAAAAAGAAGCAATTTAATGTCAAGAAGAATATACAACAAAAAGAGAAAATAGAATAAAGCATAATATCAAAAAACATATGAGTTTGTTCTGGATTCTTCTGCGAGACATCAAGAGATAGTTCAACCTGAGAATCATCCCCGAACAAGGTGTCGACATCAATAATTTTAAAAGGGGGAACACTCAAAATAGTTGGAACACCTTAATCCATAAGAAGAGTTTTGGTCTTCACAACCATAGAATGAGCGTTTGACACCTCAAAAAGCCCAAATCCAACCCTAAAAAGTTTTTGTTGGAAGACAGCAGCCGCAGATAAATTGGTTGGAGTTTAACTTTTTGACAGTGGGTTGGGTGTTCAATAATAGGGGTCTCCCCCGAGTATAAGAAAGAGCGGTCTCAGGATTTAGGGTTTTTGTATCGGAAGAAGCCAATTTTTCTTCAGCATGCTTTAGTTTGGGGTTAGTAATAACATGACGGTCATGGACTGTAGATGTTGCAGATGGTTCTGGAGAAGGTTCTGGATTCATGGATTTAGAAGAAGGTTGACTGATAGAAGACGACATACCATGACCTTTTACTGCACCACTTCGAGTAGTTCTTCGTCGTTTAAGAGAAGATAGGTTGATCAGCTTGTCAGGGAGGCTCATAACTGTTTCCAAAGAAATATTTTTCTTTGATCTAGTTTTCCTTTTGAAGGAAGGTCCCTATAACATGACTTTGGTTGAAGAAGATGGGGGTTTTCCGCTGTGAAACTCTGCTTTCACAATCCTCTTAGTAGGAGAAGGTACAACAGGCATAGTGGTACCCGTGCCAAAGGGATTGACAGCAGAGTCCATGCTAGATTCCGATTGAGAGGAGGAATTAAGGATGGTCGCCTCCTTTATGACCAATGAAGAACCAACCAAGCGCTTCATGTGTCACCACTCTAATAGAGTAACCTCACAACCCGCTAGGGTTTCCAAAGGTTTTAACCCAATTTGTTCCAATAAGCGTTGGTTTCGGCCATAACTAACATTATTTCCTCAGGATCAACACACCTGACACAAATTATTTGATAAACTCACAATACTCTATTCTTCAAGAGACAAATCAGGAGAAGGATCAATAGCTTTGTCAGTAGTAGCACCATAAAACATCCATCCAGGAAAACAGAAGCACGCGCAAATAAAAATTCTTCTTTCAAATACTTGATGGAAGTGTGAAGACCTTTGCAGATTTCCACCAAACCATGACGAAGGGAGAAAGACACCCAATCTCCATTAGACATAGCCACATAGAAGTGAAGGAATTGAGTAATAGAGGGCACCATGTTTAGAGCAGAACATGACATCACGAAACAAATGATTTTTCAAAAACCATTGGGGGTAACCTGAGCGATATGAGGATGATAATAATCCAAGACCATCATCAAGAAATCAAATACTGAAAATCGCAAACCTGACTTAAAGAAAACACGGTAAACACCAACAAAACCTTATGGAGCATCAAAAATGGCACTCCTATCCTCAGGTAACCATGGGCTGATTTTGGGATCATTGTGGTATTTTTCATGATAGAAGAAAGGATTTTAGGGGTAAGGTTGGATTTTATGGTGCTAATGCTCGAAATATCTTTGCTATCCATGGGGAAATACAATGAAAGAGAAAGAGTGAAGAACAGTTGGAAGAAGAAAATTACAGGAGGTGAAGAAAAGTAACCAACTATGGAGGGTATTTATAGGGAATCAAGAAAAGATATATTTATGGAGCAGACAAAGCGACAATTATATATTATAGTCTCCTTAAACGGAAAAGTGTTGAAGAGACGATTATAGGCAATGATGAACACTAAAAGCCGCCGAACCGTCACATCAACGTTTAATTTAGGTGTTTATCTCTATCTGATTACAACGATTACTTTACAATACCTTTTAAGTTTGAATCATTACTTTTGACAGAAAATTAACGATCCAAATTGGGGTGACTTAATATGGTATAACCTAGCTCGAAGCTACGAATATTGTACCGAACTAGATATACACCGAACTAGGTATATACCGGACCAGGTGTATGCCTGAAGTGCTTGTAACAACCAAAAATATGGTCCCAAAAATTTTGTTTTTAATAATAGATAAAATAGTAATTCCGATATCATCCAATCATCTCAAATAAAAACCAATGTATTAATTGTCATAAAATCAGAGTAAAACATCATGTGTGGAATCCCAATGGTGTGTGCGATGCAGTCATCCCGAGCTCTTCCCCTTGGAGCCAAAAGTACATGAAACATAAACTAAAACCGTAAGCACAAAGCTTAGCGAGTTCCCCCAAAATACCACATACCATACATAACATACAATGATGAGATACGGGACCCACCCACACTTAAATAATAGTGAGATACGGGCCATGCCCACACTCGGATAACCGGCCCCGCCCAATGAGATACGGTCCCCGCCCACACTCAGATGATAGTGAGATACAGGCCCTACCCACACTCGGATAGAATTGACATACAGGCCCCGCCCACACTCATATAAAGGGCCCCGCCCAACAGACATACATATATAACTTCATACAAGAATCACACAGATAACAAGTATACTAACATAATCAACAAGGTTCGGCCTTTGTGCCTTAGACCCGCTAAACCAGTGAGGGAAACTCACCTCGAATACAGCAAGATAGCTGAACGGGTCCCGGCTCCAAATATCGACTCTACTCAACCCCTAAACATAAAATATTTCCTTAAGTACAACACAAAATGCCCAAAAGCCCCTTATAGGTCAAACTTGGTCAAATACTAAAGTCAAAGTTAAAGTCAACCATCCGAGTTGACCCAACTCACCAAGTTCATCCATAAACTCGCCGAGTTTATCCATCGGTTTGCAAAGTCGGGAAGAAATTGATCCGACTCGCCGAGTTCCTCCATAAACTCGTCGAGTTCACCAGAAATTCAACATTTTAATCCATTAAGCCATCCTTAACGAAACTAGGAGCTTCATGACTTAGATCTAAACTGAAATGGTCTTAAGAAGGGTAAAGTTTCCAACTTTACCCCTAAGAACCACCAAAATGGGTTCAAAACCCAAACCCTATGCTTAAAAGGGTAAGGACTTAATCATTAAGCACTAAATCACCAAAGGCATAACCCCAAACTGTAGATCTGGCCCTAAGAGCTGAAATACCACGTAAAGTTTCCAAATTTACCTTAAAGTATACATAGAAGAAGCTCAAATGCTCCAAAGAAGCTATAAGATGGACTTAATGAACGCCTGGAGCCCTTAAGACCATAAAGTTGGCATCTTTATGCTAAAAGAGCTCATGAGGACCATAGATCTAGAAGAATAGCACTTGGGACGTCCTACAACCCACCAACCACCCAAACATGGCTAAAAGCATTTAAACTAACCCAAAAAAAGATCTAATCAAATATTGAGAAAGGTTAGAACTTTATACCCGAAATAAGATGGAAATGGTGCAAAGAATCAAGATCTTGAAGGCTCCTACTTGAATCACCACCTTACACCAAGTTTCTCTTTCTTCCAAGAGCTTCAAACACACCAAAACACACTCACAATGAGCTCACAACACTCAAAGAGGCCCTAGGGTTTCGAGATTAGGGTTAGGGACTATGGAGGCTGGAAATGAGGCCAACACCTGGGACTTAAGGTGTTTAAATAGGGTGCAAAACCCTAAAATTAGGGTTTCCTCCTGAGCGGCCAACTCGCCGAGTTGAGGCACCTCAACTCGTCGAGTTTCCTCATAAAACCCCGCGGTCAAGACAACTTCTACTCGACGAGTTGAGGCTTCCAACTCGCCAAGTTCTCCGAGGAAAATATAACAATTGCAAAGATAAATTCATACCGGGAACTAGGCGTTACAATTCTCCCCCACTTGAATCAGACTTCATCCTCGAAGTCCGCCGTCTCGAACAATCCTGGATAATGCTCCCTCATCTCCTCCTCGGGCTCCCAAGTCCATTCCGACCCCTTGCGGTGCAGCCACTGCACCTTCATAATCTCCACAACCTTGTTCCTCAAGGTTTTCGTCTTCCGATCTAATATTGCCACTGGTCTCTCAACGTAATTCAGGCAGTCATCCACCTGAATAGCCTCCAAGGGCACACTTGCCGAATCATCCACTAAACACTCCCATAGCTGAGAGACATGAAATATGCTATGACTCTGATTGAGCTCGGCTAGAAGATCTAGACGATACGCAACCCGGCCCACCCGAGCCAAAACCCTGAAGGGGACCGATATACCTGGGGCCCAGCTTCATCCGCTTCCTGAACCGAATGACACCTTTCCAAGGTGACACCTTCAGGAGAACCATGTCTCCCACCTGGAACTCCAAATCTGACTAACGCTTGTTGGCATAGCTCTTTTGTCGACTCTGAGATGTTTGGAGCCTGCTCCGAACCTGCCGAATCATCTTAGTAGTCTTGAGTACCACCTCGGTACTCCCCATGACACGCTGACCGACCTTGCCCCAATAGATCGGGGTTCTACATTTCCTTCCCCGTAGAGCATCTCAAAAGGAGGTCGATCAATGCTAGTGTGATAGCTGTTGTTATATGAAAATTCCGCTAACGGAAGATACGTATCCCAATTCCCACCAACATCTAATACGCACGCACACATCATATTCTGAAGAGTATGAATCGTCCGCTCACTCTGCCCATCGGTCTACAGGTGGCTAGTTGTACTGAAGTGGAGACGAGTACCCATCTCGTCATGAAACCGATTCCAAAATCTGGAAGTAAAGTGAACATCCCGATCTGAAACTACTGATACCGGCACCCCGTGACGTGCCACCACCTCCCGAACATAAATCTCGGCTAACTTCTCTGCAAAAATACTCTCCTGGATCGGGATGAAATGTGCGCTCTTGGTCAATCGATCCACGATGACCCAAATAGAATCCACCCCACGCGCAGTCCTGGGAAGCTTCATGATAAAATCCATCGTGATGTCTTCCCATTTCCATACATGAATCTCCAACGACTGCATCTTGCCGTGAGGTCGCTGATGCTCAGCCTTGACTTTCCTGCAAGTCAAGCACCGCTCCACAAACCATGTTATATCCCGCTTCATGCAGGGCCACCAATAATCAGGGCGAAGATCCCTATACGTCTTCGTCGCCCCGAGATGAATGGAGAATCTCGACTTGTGAGCCTCCTCCATCAGGACTTGGCACACACCGCCCCAATAAGGAACCCATATGTCACACCCCCGAACCAGACGGCGGAAACGTCCGGGGGCTTGAGCGTGACTCCATTGTTGTAGTATCATCACAGAGTATATAATTGAAACATAACATCATCATCATCATCACACATGTAATAAAACAACATTCATTGTTTACATCAAGTATTGTATTTGAATATTACATGCCAAAATAGTCAGAGTATGATGAAACAAATATAAAAAAAATATCCATTAGTTTATTCTGCTCAACCTGCTTCAATGGTTTCCTAAGAATACAAGTTAATTTAAAAAGGTCAACATAAAAATGTTGGTGAGTTCATAAGCATGTTTGTGAAAATGATTTGTAAAACTTTGAAACCACCAGAAAATCCTATATTTTCTGAAAACAGTTTAGTATGTTTGTGTTAGATCTTGTATTAATGCATGTGTGTTATTGTTTATTAGAATGTATAAAGA